ATGTTTTTTTTTTCAGATGATGTGCACAATGTACCAGAAATGCAAACTGATCCATGCAGATCTGAGTGAGTACAACATGTTGTGGCATGATAACAAAGTATGGTTCATAGACGTCAGTCAGTCTGTGGAACCAATGCACCCCCACGCATTGGAGTTCCTCTACAGAGACTGTACAAATGTCGTTGAGTTCTTCACAAAGTGCAGAGTGCCTGATGTTGTAGCAGCTCATGATTTGTTCAACAAGGTCTCACAACTGGATATCACCCCTAGCACAGATCAGGACTTCCTCTCTCAGGTATGGGAAATTTTCGTGTTGCAGGCTGTTTGTACATTTGTGAAACTTGCTTGCATCTCACCCTTTTGTAATCAAGTTTATTCTTGCAGTTAGTTTTATATACTACATTTAAGTTTAAATAAGGACTGCAAGTAGGTATACAGAAAGTCTTGGTGGACCATACATGTACCGTTTGTACAACCCCCCCCCCCCTCCCCCATCTCAGAAAAATTGGGGAGAGGGGCGTCTGTGTAGCGGCAGCACTTATCGTGTTCCGCACTGTGGGTGGTTTTCTTGGAATGTTTGGCAAGTACGGTGATTGGTTGTGATACTAATCTGCATTATGTAAGACATTTCCAGTTGTCTCATTGGTTAATTGATCATTTTCTCCAAATACTGTGTGGATACCAGAAACGATGCATTTTTGATTGGCCTCAAGGACACACACAAGAAGTTTTCACCAAGCCGTAGAATGACTAATATTCTCACATATTTACGAGTTATGCTACAGATGTACAGAAAATTAAATACTGGCAACTGATGAGATTCACATCGAGGATTATCCTCCCCGTAATTTTTTGCGGGGGAGGGGGAAGGTGTACACATGCTAGATATGTTGTAGGTCAAAATGAAATTCAAGTTAAAATGATTTCAACCTAGTTTTGATTCTTAATTTCCTTTGTCTTCTAACCCTAATTATTCATGATCCACGAATACCAGTAGTTAGGGTTAACAGCCAAAGGAATTCCATTTCATCCTGAATTTCATTTTGACCGACAATATATACATGGAGTGTCTTTGGGGAGTCTGACGTTTATCTGTTCAGGGAGAGTGCATTTAGATTTAAAATTCCGTGGCTTGGATGTCCATCACATTGTAATTTTGGATTCTTTTCCAGATTCAATCCTATGAGAAGCATGAACTTTCTGTAGGAGGAAGGAAAAATTTGGAACCGTATGACTTTGATTACTTTTTCAGCAAGACAACTGCACAATCTCAGTGAAGAGATGGTGGACACCTCTTAACCAGAAAACAATCAGTGACAAGACAGCTGCATAATCGTAGGGAAGAGATATGAGACCCTCAGTCAGCTTTCAATAATTATTTGGCAACACTCCAAGAACAGCTCACTAGCTGACACCTGACTCTTTCAGAACTCTATTGCTGGTCCCATACCCAGATTACAATTAAACAATTTAATGTGGCTTACTACAGTTTTCCCAAGACTCAGTAGCGTGTGCTACAATTGCCTGCCAGATGTTGGCATTAGTTACACGTGCAAAAATGACGCCAGTAGCCCTAAGAAAAATGAAAATAACTTCAGGGCTTGAAAGGCATTAAATCACTTTGGTATACGTAGCAATAGCTTCAAACGGCTTTCAAACATGTGTTTAAACCTAGGGCCAATGAAATATGACAGAAATGGTCCATAAACAACTGGTAACGGAGTTTTAATTTACCCTTGCTTTCTTGCTCACGATACGTGGCATCACATGAGTGTGCCCATAAATAAAGGGCATGCACAGTTCAATTCTTGTCCAAGGTTGTATAAGCCAGTCTTTGATTGAGGATTGCTCGAAAACCCACTGTGCAACCAATGATGAAAATTTCACAGTAACTGTTGATTTTTAGGGGAGTATCATGTTTAGAGCCAAAATCTAAAAAAAATTTGTAAGACAGATTTTGAGCTACAGTCAAACCTCCCATAAGAGACCACCCAAAATGTCAAGCCTAGGTGGTCGCTAATGGGAGGTGGTCGCTTACGAGAGCTTAGATATGATAAGAGCGCTTACAAGAGCTTAGCATATGGTAACTGCAGTGACTTACCCCATGTTTTAAATGTCTTACTCAGGCAAAAATTCAATTTCGTGAAAAGAATTCATACTTCTCATTGAGAAATTTCCGTCTCTCTTGTAGTACTCAGGAATGCGATGTTACAACACCTTATCATCCAACTTCTGCTCTATTATCTGTCAAGTGGTCCCTTACGGGAGGTTAAAAACAAAAGAAAATTTCAAACTTTTAGCTCTAAAAGTGGTTGTGCTCACTTACAAGAGGTTCTAAATATAGTGATTTGACTTGGAAACTTTTGGTATTTTGGAAAACTGGTCGCTTACAAGAGTTGGTCACAACCAGAGGTTCGACTGTATTTTTGATTTCACATTTTTTTAAATTGTGAAAAATCTGTCTTACAGATTTTTATGTTACTTTACATGAATGTTAATTCAGAGCAAATTTCTTATTCCTGAAATTTTGAGGTGGGGTCATACACGTGGATTTTGAGAAAAAAGTCATCTGACCTACTAGTGCCCAGTCTCTCCTTAGGTACTTGGTCATTAATTTTGGCCATTTGTCGACATTTAGATTGTTCAAGTTTCATCTAGAATGGTAAAGACTTAAGCAAACAGTAAATAGAGAAAGGAAAAACATCTTGGGACATTTTTCAAAAGAGTTAGAAGTTAGGCCGTTATAATCCATCAAAACTGTAGTAAGCCACCTGAAACTTTGTTACTCTTGCACAAGCTTTCTTTCTTTACCACAATCTCAGCATTCTCTTTAAACCTATGACTTAACTGTTTTTAAAGGAGTTTTACTGTGCGCCCCTCCTTTAAAGAGGTTTTATATTGTTTGTCTCGATAAAACAGTATTGTACAATCAGTTTTTTTATTAACAATTTATCAGCTACAGAATCAATGCTTCACAAGCTAAATCAGCATTACATGCCATCCAGATTTTCCTGATACATTTATGTAGAAGTTTAAGCTAGAACACTCTTTGCTGGTTCTTGATCCAGCTTTGGTTTTCCAGCAACAATGCCTGACTCAATTCCACATTCATCTGAGCCTCGCAGAATCTTGAAGTACCCTGTCAGAAGATGCAATAAGAAGCTTGTGAGTTTCACTACAAAACAAAGTTTCTCCAGGCGTCTTTGCTACAACTGTCATGTGATGTCATAGTCACTCATCCTGTGCTAATAGGCCCTTTGCACGATCCGGTCACATGGTACAGAATTGATTATGCTGGGACACAAGTTACACAGTGGGACTTTCAAATCAAAGGAAAGTCAGGCTGGACTGGTACGAGTTCCTTTGTTTAGGAAATCCCAGTGTAACTTGCATCCCAGCATAATCAATTCCGTACCATGTGACTGGATTGTGCAAAGATCCTATTTCTGTGGGTTATGGTCCTAATTGCACATTGCCATCTAGATGGCAAACTCAGTAAATACCATATTAACATGTATCGGTAACATTTTACCTTGGTCTCCCCAGTCAGGATTCCAGGAATTTGCCACAAGCCTGAAAATAAAATTGAAAAAAAAACCAAAAAAATCAAAATGATGTATTTAATGTTTCACTTTTCATGAAAATTCAAGAAACTTCCAGTACATGAGAATATTCTTACCAGTATGGTTTGTCATCCTCGGTTCCCCAACCCAAGATCTTAATGGCATGCCCACCAAGTGGTGCTCCACATACGTGTTGATATACGCCTAGACATGTGAAACATTGTTAGCCTAACGTGTCACTTCTTTCTCTGAACTAACGTAATAAGAAATGTAAGGTGGTGAGCTGGGAGAATTAGTAAGTCAAATATGGGATTGAAACACTTACCACTCCTGTAGCTAGGGAAGTCTGCATAGACAGTGAATGCACCCTCTACGGGGCCTTGAGTCATGATTTCCGTCTGGATCTTCTCCACTTCACTGCTTACAGAGTAACCATTTTCTCCATATCTCTTGTCATCTGAGTAAGAAACGTTGTACCCTGATGGCAGAACATACATGAAGCTGGTCAGTAACAGTGGAGACAACCAGTTATGCCTTGGCATGTCTCAGAATGATCTCCACAGAATAATTATTATGGTCAATCACACAAAAATTCCAATCGAGGTCAAAGTCAAAGAGTGTATGTATGTGTACAAACTGCCAGTAGTATTTATTTTTTGTGATTACGATACTTACCTGGCTCACACTTCCTTGTGCATGGTGGTGTGGGATCAATGGATTTACTGCAAGGCTTGAGTTTCCCTTTTACATGGTGATCACAAGCCGGAATTTCATATGGCTCACATCCCTGGTGAGAATTGTACTGCCCTCCTGTTACAAGCCCAGAGTCAACCCAGTAATTCCTGTAGAGCAAACAACTTGGTACATCATTTGCTTACAATGTAACTCCCAGAACAAAATGGTAAAGTGATGCCATTGTCCCATTCTGTGAGTTGCTCTGACTGTGCAAAGTTACTTATTCATTTGACTGGGTTCATATTTAGTGTTGAAGTACGAGGATATAACTGTGAAGATGTTTGTTTTTACCAATAGGTGGTATTTTTGTTTTTGGAAAAAATTCTACCTAACATGTTTCTATCAGTTTGTTGAAGTTCAAAGAATGGATGCAACTTTACTTTTGACTTTCAAGATAACATTTTACGTATAAATAACCAATTATTACCATGCAGCTTCGGGGAATCCTCCATTGCACCTAGGATTGAAAACAAATCAAATTCAGTATTAGTATTTTGGAGCCTTTCTTGGGCAAACAATGTGTCTGTCAGAAGAAAAACATACCACTTGTAGTGTTCACTACTAGAAAGAGCAATGTACATTCAGCAGGCATTGATAGTGAATAACAGTGCATTTCCTGGTCTGAAGTTTCCTATATTAAACTCCTCTGTTGCTAGAATTCACTTAGCTGAAAGTTGCTTTAAAATTAACCTGTAGTAAAAACAGTTCCACTTACCCCATTCCACAACTCTGACAACATGATAGCAAATCCTCAGCAGAAATGTGGGGCGTTAGTTTGCCACCAGATGAGATACAGATTCTGTCTGTCATGGCTTCCACAGCTCCAAATGCCTGAAAAATTATTACCCAGTGTTAACCTTCCAGAGGAAGGGCAGGGGGGTGGCGGAGGGGGTGGGGGGTAAATTGGAAAAATTGGGTTGGAGTGTGCAGCCCGCTTTCCAAAACCCTTACCCTAGACCAAGACCAA